GCGCCATCAGGAACCATGCCAGTAATGTTGCCTTTCCCGCAAGCGAATAAGCTTTCGATTTGCCAGTGCCAAACAGACAAGGACGGCTCATCGTCATCGCAGTTCAGCTCAGCTCGAATCGAATCACCGCGAACCGCACCGAAGCAGGACGTTTCCGGATACGTCGCGTATATCCTAATTGCATTGAGCACAGCACGCAATCCAAATATCACGCTTTCAATCCCATGCATCATTTACGTAGTACCTCTAGCTCCTCCACGCCCAATCGCCCTCCAAGCTTGACTCATATTTTGAACGTTCCCTTCTGGCACCAACGCCCTTTCCTCACCCCCCCCCCAGTGGGCTGTTGCGACGATGTCTCGCGACCGCATCATGTACATGCGCGTGCCTCAGCGCAGCCTGCCTGTACCGCCGATTCTCCTTCGCCGATGCCAGGCTTGGATCGGCCGTGTGAGTTTGGCATCCAAGGGCATGGCCCATAGTTTTGACTCGTGGTCACAATGGAGAATGCTTGGGGCGAGCAGCCACATTTCGTGATCGATCCTTCGCCAGTTGGCAGATGTGCTCCAGCTCTTCCGCCTCAGGTGAGGCGTCGAGGCGCTCGAGCGCACACCCGTTGCTCGTGAATTCGATTATGACCCCAATCTCCGACGTGGAGCAACCGATCGCGTGGATGCTGCACTTCGGATGCAACTCCTGGGCGGTCAAAGTCTAATTTTGCCCTGGTCCGAAATCCGGCCGACTCCAGCTTAAATCTGGCTTAATCCGGCTGAATCCCTTCATCCCGCTCAATCCCGCTCAGTCCGCACCCGAATCCGGCGCAGCAGCCCCCCAATGGGGTTCATTTCTCCCTAATCCTTCCGCCGAAGACCTCCCAGCAGTTGCCTCCTAACCGCTCAGCGGTCACGTCATTCCAGGCGCTCGAAGGCCTCGGCGCCCTCGGCACACCGCGCCCTCGTGCAGATGGTTTCGTGCCTCGCCCTGGCCCCTTCCATGTAATGAGACCACTGGAAGCAAGCAACTTTCCTGACAGCTGACCGTCTTGAGCACAAGGAGGGCGCAGCCTGAAGATGGGATGGAACTCCCGGGAGGTCAACTTCTGAAATGGTCCCGATCCGAAATCCTGCATAAACCCGCTTAGTCCGGCCTAAGCTGGCACAGTCCCGCCTGATTCCGCTTAGTTCGCGGCCTAATCGGGCGCAACAGTCCCCCAAGGAGGCTTACTTCTCCCCAATCCTTCCGACGAAGACTTCCCAGTAGTTGCATCTTGAGTGAAGGCAGCCATGTCCTGCACGGGAAGCATGGCAACCCAAAGTTGTTGAAAGCCTAACGCTGGCATTCAGCAGTACAGTCAGGACGCTGACACAAGGACCGCTCTGGGCTCAGGAGGGGCTGGGATCTTCGGCCCCCCCTTGAAGCTTATGTAGTGCAACCTGCCTGTGGCCTAGGCCCGCCACAGCCATAAAAGCCCCATCCGTTCCTTACTTCGGCGGCGAACGAGGGGGGGGACTGAGAAGGGGCGGGCCTTCTCAGAAGGCTCGGAAGTCCCCCGGCCTTCCGAGAAGTTTTTGCTGAACGCTCCTCGAAGACGCAGCAAGCTTCTCAGAAGGCGCGGGGCCTTCTGAGAAGTCTTTCGGGACGCTCCTCGAAGACGCAGCAAGCTTCTCCGAAGGCGCGAGGGCCTTCTGAGAAGTCCCGCCGCCCTCCGAGAAAGCTTTCTCCTCCTCGCGTCCCCCGCCTCGCTCGCCGCCGATTATCATGAGCTCCTTCTGTCGACGAAGAATCAGCAGGGGAAAAAACACACAGACACAATTAGTCGTCGATCCCCAGGGAAATCCGGGAAAATATGGGAAGTGGGGGGGAAGACGAAAACCCAGAAGATATGGGAAACTATGGGGAAGCCTGGGAATTGTGTGTATTTATCCGTAAGGGCTTCGCCCCCTGCCGCCGGCCCCCTCTCTCGGAGAATGGGCCATGGAAGAGCTAAGTCATGAGGCTTTGGCGCTGTCGTGCAGCAGTATCGGAACTTCATGGAGGCCGATTCGCAATCGGCAACACCAACTGATCACAAGAGGGGTTACCACACAGGCCGATTGGTAAGACGTGTATGGTTTACGAGCTTGGTTACCACACCTTGGGATTAAAGGGCCGAGGGAGTACTCGCAGTTTGGGTTACCACGCCTTGCGATGGATGTGCGTGAGGGGTGGCACCGAATTTCAGAAATGTGGCAAATCCCCTGTGTTTTTGGACCCTGACCCCGCGGATCTGCGTGAGGGGTGGCACCGAATTTCAGAAATGTGGCAAATCCCATGTGTTTTTGGACCCTGACCCCGCGGATCTGCGTGAGGGGTGGCACCGAATTTCAGAAATGTGGCAAATCCCATGTGTTTTTGGACCCTGACCCCGCGGATCTGCGTGAGGGGTGGCACCGAATTTCAGAAATGTGGCAAATCCCATGTGTTTTTGGACCCTGACCCCGCGGATCTGCGTGAGGGGTGGCACCGAATTTCAGAAATGTGGCAATCCCCTGTGTTTTTGGACCCTGACCCCGCGGATCTGCGTGAGGGGTGTCGATTTTGAGCCCCCCCAGCAATTCAGACAACGCGCCCAGGTGGTGCTAAAAATCTGGTTTGGGCCTCCCTCCCCTCGCGCGGTCAATCAACTAGTTACAGCAACCAGCAAGAAGCAGAACTGTAACACTGGAAACTACAAACTACAACTGGTACAGGAAACTGCGAATCACGGGCCTACAGCCTGGTGGCCCCACAAGGGGGCCGGCGGATTTGTGTGTCCCTGGGCCCCTTTAAAGAAACAACGACATAAACAACAACTTCTTGGCGGTCCGCGCGGATTCCTCGGATTCACGCGGGGCCTCCCTGGCGGCGCCTCCGGCGCCGCTCCTGGCGCGCTCCGCAAGCCAGGGGGGTCCAGCGCAGATCGACGAAATCCGCGCGGAGCGCCAAAAGTTCAGATTCATACCGTTTTGTATCCCTCCCATCCCGACCCCCATCCCGATCCCCCTCCCCCTCCCGATCTCGAGCCCGTGATTGGGACAGCTCTGCCTTGCAGGGGCTCCGGGTGAGCTTTCGGCGACCACGCCGCCTCTTCAGACTGACCTGATTGAGATGGCTATGGCCCGCCCTCCCGCCAGCACGCGCGATCTCACCACCCACCAAACCACCCCAACCCAGCCCGAAGTCCCCAATGTGCCCTCCATTCCCATTGGGGCGGGGGTCGAGGAACAGTGGAAAAACACATACGAAACCCGTACCCCCCCCCCCCCACACCCGAAGTTCGGGTCTTCGGGTCTTCGGGTTAGGTTCGGGTGGTCTGGTAGGTGGTCAGCATCTCTTGACCGATCCCCATTCCGATCCAGATCCCTTGGCATCGCTCGGACGCGTGCATTTTTTCTCGGCGAGGACCATCCAGGAGCATGTATGTTCACCCTGCGGGAAAAAACATACACGCACGAAGCCGAAAGATGCACAGGGAATGGACGTCCGAGCGCTGGCGAGGTCCCCATCCCCGATCCACTCCCGGGCCGCTCTTTCACCACCCCGATCCCCATCCCCATCCTCATCCCCGTTTGGAGTTCAGTGGGCCTCGGCCGAGCGGCGCACGGAGCTGCTCTTCAGTATCGCTTGGCCGATCCCCATCCCCATCCCCGGCCCCCATCCCCGACCCACTCCCGAGCCGCTCTTTCACCGCCCCGATCCCCATCCCTGTCCCCGTTCACGTTTGGAGGTGATCGGGCCTTCCGGAGGCCCCCCGGGGGCTTCCTGGTCTAGGTCCTCCTGAAAAGGGGGCGCTCGGGCACGGTCCAGTTTGCTTCGGCGGCGGCCGCACCGAACCCCATCCCCATCCCGAGCCCCAACGTCTTGCCACCCCAGTTTGCGATCCATTCGGAGCGCGCAAGAAGGAATCCTTTTTCGTTGGGGAGGGGCTCCGTGTTCCTCACTTGCTTCATAATTTGCCTTAGGTCGTCCTTAGGTTTTCGATCGGATATCGAAATTCAACTTATGGAAGAGAGGGGCCTCGTTCCATATTTGGGGTTCCTTAGGTCACCCCCCCGACTATACACCCCTCAAGACCCGAAGGGAAGAGCCTCGCGAAGAGCTCGGGGGGGCTCATGCGGTCGCGGCGGGCCCTAAGCCGTGCTGCCCGCCTCATCGTCGTCCTCTTCGGTAGCTAGCACATCATGGGAGCCTCTTCGTGTGCTCGACAAGCTTTGCTTAGAGTGCAACATCGTGCGCTAGCGTCTGGTGATCCATGAAAAATGCGGCTGTCGCGCCGCTTAGCATCTATTCATCGTCGACTTAGCGTCTACTAGTCACCGCCCACCAAACAACCCCAACCCAGCCCGAAGGCCCCAATGTGCCTTCCATTTCCAGTGGGGGAGTGGGCGGGGAACACTGCAAACACATACATGAAGTCCGTACCCCCCCCAACCCCAAAATTCGAGCGAAATTCGGGTCTTCGGGTTGGATTGGGGTGATCTGGTAGGTAGTCAACTAGCGTCGGTTCGCGTCGACTTGCGTCGGTTAGCGCCGCTTCGCAAAAGCCAGCAAGACGGCCCGGGTGGCCCCCATGAGTTGCCACCGAACTGTACCGGGTTGCCCGTCTCGCTTTCGTCCTCGTTCGTGGCTTCATCCTCGTCTTCGTTCTCGTTCTCGTCCTCGTCCTCGCCCGCCTCGCCTCGTTCTCGTCCTCGTCCTCGTTCGTCCTCGTTCTCGTGTGTAGTCGCCGCCGTCGGCTTCACCCCCTCCACCCCCTGCCGCGGTGGGCGCATCAGGTCAGAACGCGTCCCTGTCAGCGGGTGCCCTGCAGAGATGCCCTGTCCCCCGACGGCCCCAGGGATCCACCGAGCCCTTTGGACGCCGTGGGATGTTTGAAGATGGACGGCAGCAACATCCTCCGCCCGCGTCCTGTGTGCGATATCGTTGGCCATTCTGGGCCTGGGAGATGAACTTTCCTTGCGGCGCATTCGTTGTCTCACAGGCCACGGTATGCTGCGTGAGCTTGCCTATTTCTGGTTCGCCTTGCGGCCTTTCGATTCGTATTGCAGGTCCCGCGTCGTCGAGTCAAGCTCCCCTCGCGCGGCGCCTCGGTAGCCTCCCACTTCCTCCCATTTCCTGCCTGCCTCGCGCAGGGCCTCGACGGCTGGGCCTGGAGTGCCTTTGTAAAGCCTGGGCGCCCTTCCCCACAGGCTCTCCACATGCCGCTCAATGGGGGTCCGGAGGCGATGGGGTCGGTGCATTGCGCCACATCGCCGATACTCCGGCCATGCGGCTCGATGTGGAACCCGATTTTCTATTCGCCGATGTCGCCGAATCATCGGCGATGCGGCGCGATCCCCTCGACCCCATCCGCTCGGATCCCATGTGGCAGGCCCCCGTAGGCTCTGCGCAAGAATGCCCCCTCGCCAGAGTGGCCCTATTTGGGCAGGCTCGCGCTCAGCTCCGCCTGGATCGCGCAGCCCCGCAAAGGCCCCAGCTCCAGGTGTGCTGGCTGAGCCTGAGCCTGAGCTGGGCTTCTCGCGCCAGCGTTAAGTCGGGCCTGTCCCTCTACAGGAGGAATGTTCGAAGACAGTACAACAAAAACATGTCAGGGGACGATTTGTTGGACCACACAGGCGCTCCGAAAGTTTGTTCCGATTTGAGAAGCACGGCGCCGCGCGAATGCAGCGCAAACGCTATGCTGGAAGGGCGCGGCAATTCATGCCCTTTGGACAGAGCAGCCGCGCCCCCGTGCGAACCCCGATCCCGCGCGGGGCGCGTTCCCGTTGACAATGGCTCACCCGGGAAGCCGTTTCTTGCGCAGGAAGTCTTGAACGGTCTCCCCATCGGCGGCTCCTTCGGACGAGGCCCGGAACCACCAAGAAACCGTTTTTGATAGGAAGTTCTAGGCGGTTTGCCCATGCTCGGTTTCGTCGGAGTGGGCCCGGAGACCTCGACAATTATGTTTTTGCAAGGAGTCCGAGGCGGTTTGCGCATTTTCGGGTCGTTCGAACCGGGCCCGAAATTTTTTCCGGCACAAGTCCTATGGCATTTGGCCACTTTCAGGTCGGCCGGTAAACTTTTCGGGTCGTCGCATGACCGAACCCGAAAGTTTTTTTCGACGAGGTCCTACGCCGTTTCACTTTCGGGTCAGTGCACCGTTTGGGATTTAAACCTTTAAATTGGGAAGGGGAACCCGATCCCGCGACCCCGGGCGGGGGCTAGGTTCTGCCCTTGCATTGTACTGGGCCCCTCCGGCCAAACGGGTCGCTGGGCTGCCCATCGGCGCGCCGGCTCTGCCCTCGCGACATCGCCACCGTCCGCCCTCGGGCCCCGCGGGTCTTATCCTACGCGCGCCACCCCAGATGGCCGCGGCGAGCGCGGTGGCGAAATTGGGGAAACTTTCGGATCGGCGCAGTATGTTTGACCATTTGGGGGACATTTTCGGGGTATTTATCATTTTTCGTTCAAAATCCCTTTGTAGGGGGACAGGCCCGACCTAACGCCAGAGCCACGGCGGTCCCGACAGCCACGCAGCCGCGGGACGGGCGGCCCGGTGCGCCCTCCGTGCGTCGGGGCCGCCGTTCGGGGGATGAACAGGCTCAGGGGGGCGCATCGGCTCCCAACATCGCCCAGTCAAGCACCGCCGATAGACCCTGTAGCCCAATGTCGCCTGTGATACGGGGCAGCTCACCGGCGTTTTCAGCATTGTCAGCACTGCTTCGCGGTGGTGCCTCTGTCCGGGTGCTGTCGGCTCCATTTCTTCCCCTCGGCAAAGAGCGCTCGGGAACGTGCGGACTCGCGATGGGCGGCCTTCCAGGTCGTTGTTCCCCACTCGAGCTGGTTCCCCCCCTTTACGTTGCCCCTCAGTCACCACCCACCAAACCACCCCAACCCAACCCGAAGGCCTCAATTTGCCCTCCATTTCCAGTGGTGGGGGGGTCGGGGAACATTGAAAAAACACGTATGGAACCCGTACCCCCCCAACCCGAAATTCGGGTCTTCGGGTTAGGTTGGGGTGGTCAGGTAGGTAGTCAGTCAGTGCGGCATCGTCCGTGGCTGAACGGCGCCCGCTGGGTCGCCGTCGGGCCGCAACGACCCAGGCTTCGGCTCCAGACGTCCGACGTCTTGAAAGCGGCCAGGCGGAGGGCTCTGTCGTGCTGCTTGTCCTCGGCAGGCCCTCGCGGCCTCTGCGGACTGTGCTCGGCCTCTGGAGGTTGTTTTCGGCTTCCAGGACTGGTCCGGATGGGAACCAGTGTTCTGGGTACGGGCATTGCATAGTAAACGCGCCTGCGCGCAGGATGTAACTGTAAACGCCCAGGATTGTTCGGCAAACGTTGGTTACGGGGGTGGGGGTGTTTTTTCTTTCTGCGGGCTACGACTTTCAGGGGCTACGAAATACTCCGGCGAAGGAACAAACCATATGATTTTGTTAAGCGCCTCAGCTGTGAGTGGTGCGCTCGGTCGAGCTCCCCATGGGGCCAGGAGACGTGTGAGGGATGT